AGTTATCTTGAAATAAGTTACGTGTTCTAATACTTATTTTGTTACATATCACAATTATGCCACGGAGACCATACACATAGCCATGATATTTAATTATTTAAAGCGCACCTAAATAAACTAGCGCACTTGAAGTATTTTCCTAAACTAATTTAAGATTATTGTAAGGCCAAAAGTTATGGAATTGTTTGTGGAAAAAGTGTATGATTTTAGATATTTGAATAAATAAATTATCATATACCAATACCCTACATCCCAACAATTGAAGCCTAAACTTATTAGTATCCAAATCTTCCAAACTTTTAGCAAGTTTAAATACTATATTTTCAGAAACATGATTAAACATATAACATTTAAGGATTGATTTACATTATTATTTATAAAGTTTAAAGATAAATAAATAAAAAAACATAAAATACGATAAAAAAAAAAAGAGGGAAGAATAAACCTTTTAATGCAAGATTTCCAATTAAATGAGTCTCCAAGAATATGTACAATAACTCAGACGAACGCCGAACAAGCATAAGCAAAGATGATCATCAAAGCCGGTGAACAGAGCTCCAACGGAATCCTCGACCTCGACTGTTAACACCACTCTTTGGCGTGTAAAAGGGGATGTTTTGAAGTATTTTTTGTTGGGTTTTGGGGTGTTGAATTGCTGGAAATTTTCGAAAGAAAGAGGAAGAAAGAATAACATGAGTAGAAATTGTCGTAGCGTAGAAGAAGAAAAAAAAATTGTTTCTCTCAATTCTCCCCTCTCTTTTCTCTCCCTTTTATCCCTTTTCTTCTCAGATTTTCTCTTCTATTTATAGCAAAATTTTCGAAATTTTTCAGTTTTTTTTTAAAATATTTTATTATTTTTTAATTAAAAGAAATCCCACTTACAATTTGCTTTTCGTTTTTATAAAAAGAAATCCCACCTTTATTTACTTTTATTTTTTAAATTCCAACTTTAATTACTTTTATCTTATTTAAAATCTCACTTTTTTTTTACTTTTAAAAGAGGATTCCACTTATTTTACTTTTCTTAAAAAAACAATCCACTTTCTTTTGCTTTTCTTATAAAAATTCTACTTTCATTTACTTTATTTTTTTTAATTTTCAGCTACCTTTATATTTATTTTTTAATTCCAACTTTCTTTACTTTTTATTTTTTAAAATTTTCACAAAACTTTACTTTTAATTTTCCACTTTCTTTTACTTTTTACAAGAGAATTCCACCCACTTTTACTTTTATTTTTTTTATTCCATACTTCCCTTTTTCTTATCTTTTATATCTCACCCGAAAATAAAAAAAAATAATAATATTTTTTCGGTTTTTTTAAATTATTTTAAAAATAAAAAAATAAAATAAAATAATAGTAATAGTAATAATTCACCTTTTAAAATTTTGTATTTTTACCCTATAATAAAAATTGTAACAAAGCTAAAAATTGTAGGTTAAAACCCCTAAAATATTTACATAAAAGAAGTAACAAAAAATTAAATATTGTCAAAATTTAGGTGCTCACAACTCACAATTACCTCCTTTGAGGACACTTTTCCAAATGAAGGAGTGTGATATTTTGTTCTTGCTAGAATTATATTTGTTAATTGAAGTTTGTGCCCAAAGAGTATTGGGGTGAAGAAATAGTCGCCATGCCAAGCTAGTTAAGAGTGCAAGATTCTTGTCGTGAGCTTTACATATTCCCAGGCCACCTTGACTCTTATGTAAGGTGATTACATCCCAACTAAGGTAGTGGATTTTTTTATTTTCCGGAAGAGATCTCCAAATAAAGTCTCTCTGAATTTTGTCGATAGTATGGTAAATAGCTCTAGGGAGTTGAAAATATTGCATGGCATAGGCAGGGATTGTATTTAGAGTACTTTTTGCTAGAGTGACTCTCCCAGCTGGGGTAAGGAAATTTAATTTCCAACTAGCCATTTTGCTTTTCATGTTATCGATGATGAATTGGAAGTCAGAGGCCTTGGGGTTATTATTTAGGATGGGGAAGCCTAAATATTTTCCAAAGTTTTCTGTAGTTTTGATACCTAGTAGTTGGAGGACCAGCTGCTTGGTATCCTCCTGGCATTGGGGGGGAGAAGATGGCTTTAGACTTGATTGGATTTATTTTTTGGCCTGATAGGTGACACAAATATTCTAAGTTGTGGTGTATGGAGAGAATTGATTTCTGGTTAGCATGACACATCAAAGTTAAGTCATCTGCAAAGAATAGATGTGAGAATTGAGGCCCTCGTTTACTAATAGTGATGGGTTCCCATTTTTAGAGATCCACTTGATGGTTTATGTAAGTAGAGAGTAACTCCATGCATAGTATAAAGATATATGGAGACATAGGGTCTCCTTGGCGGATACCTCGAGATGGGGAGAAATAGTTTGTCCTTGATTCATTAACTAATATAGCAATATTGCTGCTACTGATACAATGCATAATGAGAGTGGTGATTTTTGGTGGAAACGTGAAGAATAAGAGGGTACGATAGACAAACGACCATTCAATGCGATCAAAGGCCTTCTCAAGATCAATTTTTAACATAAGCTTACCCTTTTTCCCTTTTGTGTGCTTAATATGTTTTAGGATTTCTTGAACTAGGATGGCATTATCACTAGCTCTCCTGCCTTTAAGGAAGCTAGTTTGGTACAGACCAATTATGTCGGCTAGAAAGGGCTTGATACGATTTACAATTATTTTTGTGATCACTTTGTAGATAGTATTACAAAGGCCTATTGGTCGGAAATTTTTTAGGTTGTTGGCATTTTTGAAGTTTGGGATTAGGCAAAGAAGTGTATTGTTGATATTTTCGAGGAGTTGTTGAGAGGTGAAAACTTGACGACAATAATTTATAACGGACTCCCCTACTATAGCCTAGTGCTTTTGATAAAAGAATGGGTGGAGGCCATTTGGGCCCAGAGCCTTACAGGGTTTGAAGGAGAATATGGCTTGGACGACTTCTTGATCATGAAGGGGATTGTCTAAAGATGTTAAGTCAATTTTATGGAAATTAGTAGGGCTATTGATAATGTCACACCAATTAGAGCTTGTATGCTCCATTGTAAAAATTGTTTGGAAGTATTTTTGGGTATGTTGGGATAGACGATTGTGATCAGTGATCCAGTTTCCCTCATCATCCTTGAAGAAGGAGATCCTATTTTTTCTTCTTCTATTAATAACCGATACGTGAAAATTTTTTGTATTAACGTCACCTTCGTTGAGCCAGTTAATTCTTGATCTAATTTTTCAGAAGTCCTCTTCTATATGTAAAATGCTATTATATTCATTTATGAGCTCGTTCTCTAGATTCTGAAGGAATTGTCTGGTAGGGTAGGATTGGGAGTTTTGAATACCTTCTAAGCGAGTTAAAATTCTTTTTTTCTTTTGGAATATGTTGCCAAAGGTGGCTTTACTCCAAGTTGATACCTTTTGTTGGAAATAGCTAGTGGCTTGAGTAAGATCGTTATGGTGCCAGCTTTGTTGAACTATATTGCGAAATTCAGGATGTGAGCACCAAAAGGTTTCTAGTTTGAATGGTTTATTTGCAGGAATATGCAAGACATTAGTAATATTTATTAATAGGGGGGTTTTGGTCGGAGTAAGTTTTAGGGAGATGGGTAATGGAGGTGTTGGGATATTGTTGGAGCCATTCTTCATTAGATAGGTACCTATCTAGTCGTTCGAGAATTAACCCTCTATTCTTTCTACGATGGTTAGACCATGTGTACTTGCTACCCTTGAAACCTAGGTCTATCAAATTACAGTTGTTAATGGAAGTCCAAAAATTTGAGGATCGAGCACGATTCATTAGTCTCCTTCCCCATTTTTTATCCTGACTAAGGATTTCATTGAAGTCTCCTACCACCAACCAAAGGCCAGTGTGTGCTTGTGATATGGATTATAAATTGTCCCACAACAGATTTCATTTATAAAGTTTAGTACTAGCGTAAATGACACTAAATAACCAAGAAAAATGATTGGGGTATACCTGAATCATGGCGTGCAATTCCTGGTCCGCTTGTCTAATAGAGATGACTGTGACCATGTTAGTAAGCCACATAAGAACAACCCCGTCAGCTCTACCCTGGGCAGGTACCTCTAAGAAATCGTCAAAATGGAATTCTTCCTTAAGTCTTTCATGGTTTTACATCCTAGTTTCAAGCAGAGCCACCATGCATGGCCTGTGGGTATGGAGCAACTCGTGGAAATTCCTCTTAAATACATCATTATTAGCACCTCTAATATTCGAAACAACAAAACTAGTGGGTCTATTCAAGGGAAAATTCTGGTTGGGGGGGGGGGTGTAAAGTCACCTAACTCTCCTTGATTGGGAATTGACTTCCCCTCAGAGATAGGGTCATCACTACTGCATATTTCGCTAGGGCCTTGTTTATTGCAGGACGAAGGTCGAAGGAGCACTTCATCAATGCTATTGGACAGTTGAGAATATATTTTTTGTCCTCTCTTTGAAAAATGATAAGGCTTGCGTCTCTGAGATTTGATATTTCTGTGAGCGAGCCCCTGTGTAGGGGGATCTCCTCTATTTCCTATATCTCCTCTGCTATATTTATTTCCTCCTGTGCCTGTGGTGGTAGAGGTGGAGGGGGCTGATGCATGTGCATGGGGACTTAATGGGGAGAGCATGATGCATGTGCATGGGATCTTGTTGGGGTGGAGCATGGTATTGCACATGTTGGGGTTGCCATGGAAAGAAGAGAGGCTGGACATTGAACATCTCTTGGGGTAGGAAGAAGGGGAGTTCGTGAAGCTGGTTCCAATTTAGTAGAGGGTTGAAGTGGGGTGGAAGATTCCACTGTTGGTGCAAATTGTGGAACAGAGCTGGTGCCATTGCTGGGGCCAGTGGGTCCATCACATTGGCTAGCCACATATGATTCATGTAGTTGTCCATGTCTAGTCACATCCCTTCCGATATTAGCTGAGCTAAGAAATTGGGATTTGAATGATTATCAGGACTTCCATCCCGTTGATGATCATTGTGAAAAAGACTGCCTATCCCTGGAGCCCTTGTTCGATCCAGGATTGAGGTGGGTGGAATGGTGGTAGTGGCTGGGTTGCATATCCCAACTGGTGGTGTGCTAGTGGTGGAGGTAGTTGTTCATGGGGTTGGTTGCTAATCTGATGGGATGTGGTCGAAGGAGTAAATGTGTTCTGGAGAGGAGTGGGAGAAGGTGGTGTAACATTTTGGGAGATGAAAGCAGGAGTAATATTGTGTGGAATGTGTGATAGGTTTATAAGGGCTGATGATTGTGTATCTATTGAGTGAAATTTGCTAAGGCTCGGATTAGGGGAATTAAGCGTGTGGATTTTGGCATGCAGATTTGGTGAATCCACTTGCATGTCCACTTGGCCAGAAGGAGATGCCAAATGTGAAGAGAGTGAAGGATAGGCGATGAGAGTAGTAGAATGAGTTGCAGACTTGGAGTCTTCTTGTTCTATAATTTTTAATAACGTGAAGGTGTCAATCTGATTAGTGGCAAGACAATCTTTTAATTGGGACACTTGGTTTCCACGTGGAGGTTCTTTTCTTGAGCCCATTCTTGTTTGTAACGAAGGGTTTGTAGAGACGACTGTAGTAGGGTCATTTGTGCTTGTTGTTTTTTGCCGCCTCTGATTTCATCTTGCGGATAGGGAGGGTTGCAAGAACATCGGATATTAAGGGAGCATATTGATTGGCTAACTGCCAAGCGTGCTGTGTATTATGACTGATATTCCTACTATCTTTTGAGTGCTTATTTGGTAGTAAGCGATTATTATTCTTGTCCTTATTAGTATAGTTATGGCTAATTACTTGATTGATATTTTTATCCTTATAGGGATAGTAACCCGTAGGTTTGTTCTGATAGATAAAGGTGTTTGTGGGGGAAAACTTACCTTGTTCTTTCGTAGTGAAAGAAACACCAATACCTGGGCTATGTTGTAACTTTTTCTCCTTCACAGCTTCTCTTGGTCTCTGTTTTTGATTTGTTGTGTTTCTTCTTCTTTTGGCAAAGGAGACTGTTTGCCACTCACTTGAATTGTCCTTAACCATCTGTTGTTTGTGAAGGGTGCTACTGTCTTGGGCTATTTCTTGGCCATCTTGTGTTGATTCTGGGATGGGTCTTTTGCCACGTTGACGATGGAGGCATCGAATAGCTGTGTGTCCCATCCTACCATAGTATTTGCACAAGAAAACTTCTCCTTCATAAATAATCTGTTGAAGATGGGAGTCAATTTGTATACATGTTGTGACTGGCTCTTCTAGTGGAACTTGTGTGCAAAGGCGTGCATATTGTCCCCTCAGGGTAGAGCTGGTGCAGGCATCTATCTTCAATAGAGTGCCGATTGAGTTTCCTATGCATTTAAGTAGTGCTCCATCATAATATTCTGTTGGTAACTGTGGTAATCTTTTCCACACAATGGTGTTTGTTTGCTGTGCTTTGCCGGCAACAAAGTTGGGTTGCCATTTTATAACAGAGAGGAAGTGACCATTGACAAACCAAGGTCCATTCCTAAGAACATTATTCATATTTTCTTCTTTTGTGAATTTTACTATGAAGTAGTCTGACCTTAGGTCAATTAGAGGGAATTGCTTTATGGATTTCCATAGCTCTTGTATTTTTACTTTTAAATAGTGGTGCATAATCCTTTTCCCAAATAGCTTGATGATGAGGGAGTATTTCCAGGTGGAGTAAAGCCTATCTTTTTCATCGTTTGATAGCTGAAGTGCTTTTACTCCACTGGCTAACTGTTCTCCTTCATTCTTCGAATTTGGTGATTCATATAAGTCTTGCATGGCGTCTTCCTGCTGGTGATCCATATCAATTTCAATTACTTGTTCACTAGCCAGTAATTTTTTTTTGAAACTAGCTTGAGATGCTAGAGGTGAGGCCAATCCTGTGGGTGTTGCCTAATCAATATCTGGGGGCTTGGGGGGAATTGGGGAGGACATATTCATGGAATTTTCTTCCTCCATTGGCTGTCGTATTAGTATTAGAAACTTTTTTGTTAGAGGGAAAGTAGAGCAAAACTTTCTAGAGAGAGAAATTTCCTAGTCTTGACTTCAATCAAACATGAACAAGTTAGCCATCGTGAAAAAGCAATAAGAAACAAATTATGAAATGTAAAGTAGAGGAAGATTACTTTGATGGCATGGGATAAGATATGTACACCTACGAAGTATGAAGGAGTAAACATTAAAAAAAGTAGATTGTGGTATGTTGTTTCTGTTGAAAAATTATTTTAGTTACTCTTCGAGAAGAAAGATATTCTATGGGTAAAATGGTTCGTGGGATCTATATGAAATTCAATAGTAATGTCTAACTATATAAACTAGTGTTTTAAAAGGCGATTTCGGGGCGAACCCTGGGGCGAGGCGCACCAAAAATACCTCGGGGCGATGGTGTGGGGCGAAAGTCTCAAGAGGCGTACGCCCAACAATTCGGGGCGTACGCCGGGCGTTCGGGGCACATTTTTTTAGTGAGGTGTAAGCCCCAAAGAGTTTTTCAAATTAAAACAAAATTTATTGAATATATCCTTCATATAATACCCAAATTCTCAAAATTCGGCTTGATAATTACTAAAATTTTTAAAAAGGAACTGAAATGCATTAAATTTAAAAGTTAAGACCTTTTTAATTGATTGAAGCCCCAATTCATGGTCTTTCCCAATTCTTTATCTTATTCGCTAGTCTGCTAATATCTCCAAAAAGTAACGAATATTTATCTTTTTTTACCAATACAAAGAAAACTCCATTCTCCTTCGTAGCAGCAAGTTAAAAGTTCAAATTGCAGGTTAGTCATCCTTTTTGTTCCTTCATGTAGAAAACTTTATTCTTTTCGGCTCAAGTTACTTGAGCTTCTAAGTAGCGTATAATAGATTGTTTTGACTAGTTTTTTGTGGGAAATATATGTATATATATATATATTTCACATATTTATAGTTTTCTTTATTTTTATGCAATTTTACCAGTTTAGAAATATTTACTGTAATTATATTATTTTATAAAATATTAAAAATTAAATACCTATGGGGCTTATGTCTCGTGCCTCGGGATTTACGCCTCGCTGAGGCATATGCAAAACGCCTCGCCTTACGCCTTTTAAAACAATAATATAAACCATTTGCTGATTATGGTTGGTATTGGAAGAAATTTCACAAGCTCAGAGTAGAGATGGGAATCCGGAACCAAAATGTGATTTTTTTTACTCAAAATACGCAAATAAGTGTTAAAAAAAGTTACCAAACTATATATAACGGCACAAATAGTGGCGCTATACAATAACGTTAACTGTACCGTTACTGTATAGCGCCACTATTTGTGGCGCTATACATAGTAAAGCTGACACACCTTACATAGCGCCATTAATAGTGGTGCTATACCCCTTATTACCTGACCCCACCAATAATTTCTGGGTTCAATAATTTAAAAGCGTATAAAGCCACTTTTTGTGGCGCTATATTCGAAAAAAAAAAACCTCCCCGGCTAGCCATTTCCTATATAAACATCGTAGAATCACCATAACTTCATTCAAAATTTTTTTTTAACTCTTGTTGGTTTCTATTGTTGTTAAATTCTTCAGCATTTTTTCATTATGTCTGAAGAACGTAGAATAAGAGTATCATTATATTGGGGGGGGGGTGAGGTTGTGATGGAAAATAACTCTGTGGGCTACAGTTTACCTGCTAAGTGTAATGTTAAATTGCCACTTTCAATGGAGTACAAAACATTGATATCGTTGTTATGCAAAAAGATGAGTGTGAGAAAATGTTCAGTGATACTCAAAGTAACCGGAAGATATCCATATTCTGTTACGCCACAAGGGGTTGCTTTTTACTCAGAGTTTAACATCGACGATGATGACACTTTGAGTGATTTCCTGAGGACTCCGGACGAATGCCGGGAATTTCTTGTAATCACAATGTTGGAGATGTACGTGAAGGTCGAAGACGTTCCAAAAAATGAGGTTGTGCGTAGTAGAGATAACCCCCAGTCATCGGGTGGTTATTCTGGATCAGTTTTTGCCGGACATGTTCCGGATGAAAGATTTTTTCTTGATTTAAATTTATCACCGTCGGCGAATGAGCAGCGAGAAAATAATTTATACCCTGCTTTCCATAATTCACAAGAAGAGTGGTAAACTTCAATTTTCATTTGTGTTAATTATGTATATTTTTGGCGTATTGAATTAATTTTAACGCTCATTTATTTAATAGGGGGTACCGGCCGGATATGAATTTTACAAGTGGCCCATCCGGTAGTCATCACCTAACTGAAAACGTCCATCATGGAATGTCATCACATTACGACTTGTAAGTGAAAAGCTACAGCCATATATAAAGCATTTATTAATTTAGTAGCTTATATTTTTGTTGAAATGTGCAGTGAAAACGAGCAAGTTGAACTACCCGTACTCACTCAATTGCCCGAAAACGACGTATTACATCAGGATCTGGCAGATGAACAGAGTGAGGAAGAGAACAGCGATTACGATAACAATGCCGATGAATCGGGAGACGAGACACCATTTGCTCGTGAGGATGGTGATGAAGAGGACGAGGAGGAAGGACCCGATTTGAAGAGAGCCCCCCATAGACGAAAAGTGTACGAGTCTGAAGTGCCGTTTCATTCAAGGGAGATTCCTTATATTGATAACTTGCCAGCCGTGCCGGATGTGGAAGCTATCACAAGGGATTTTGATGAAATCCGGACAGTAATATGGGATGAGTCTAGACCAACGGTGCTTGCAAAGGGGATGCTTTTTCCTGATAAAGCACGCGTAAGCAGGGCTTGTAAAATGCACAATGTTAAAGAGTGTCGTGAGATGCAGGTATCGGAGTCAAGTCCGACGGTATACAAGGCTATTTGCCGCAGGTGGTTTTGGCCATGTAATTGGATGTTGCGTGCGTCGAAGAAGAAGACAGGTATGTGGAAAGTGGGTAAATACATTCCCACCCACACATGCGAAATGGACACTTTCAACGGGAATCACTTCAACTTGGATATTGACTTGATATCTCTTGTACTTATTCCGCACATCGAAGCGTCCATAAGGTATAAAATCAAAGAGTGCATTACAGCAGTCCACCAGGAATATGGCCACACAATTACTAAAATAAAGGCATATCTTGGGCGCAAAAGAGCGTTTGAAATGGTCTATGGTAACTGGGATAAGTCATTTGCGGATTTGCCTAGGTACATGGCTGCACTGCAGCACTTTAACCCCGGAACAGTTATTGAATGGAAGTTTGAGCGGAGTCCGGGTAAACCAGAATATATATTCAATTACGTGTTCTGGGCGTTTAAGCCAGCAATTGATGGTTTTCCGTATTGCCGGCCCGTAATATCCATAGACGGAACTCATGTCTATGGAAAGTACGATATCAAGCTATTGATAGCCGTGGCAGTGGATGCTAATGGACAGATATTTCCTCTAGCCTTTGCTATTTGTGC